CAAATCTTGGTAAGCTATTTAAATCATAAATAAGTTCCGTAAGTAATTGAAAACCTCAATACAATAACTTTTTACTGTTTAGTGTCTTCACAGTTTTAAATCTTGCATGAATTATTGAATGTTTTGTGTATTATTTATTTTTCGATGTATTTGGTTTTCCAGCGAGTCGAGGAACCGAAAGGACAGTCGTAATGGATAAATCTAAAGGAGAGCCAGTTATTAGTGTAAAAACCTCTGCATCAAAAGAGAGGGTAAGTCCAACTTTCAGAGAAGCTTTTGTGTAAAAATAGGTGTCAGGTAGCTTTATACGCTTATAGTCGAAGGGGTTTTTGCCTTGCATATTGGTACATTCATCCTTTTATCAGTCTCTGGAAAGCATTAGGGTGTTAATGGTGTGGCAAAGGGTAAATGTTTCTGTTTCACCTTCTTTATAGTTTTGCACTGCTGTCCTAGTTGAAGAAGTAGAATTGCAATATTAAAATGTTGTTAGGATGTCTTTCCCCAGGTTTGAAATACAGTTACTGATGACCATAAAAGTATTGTATTATTTGCCATCGGTGCAAGTCAGGTCATGTGCTCCTAGTATTGATATGTATTTAAATGCTTGAGAAGTTTTAGCCAAATTTGGGATACTTTTCCCTCGCCTACTTTTTCCTGGCATTCCAACATTGTTTGCCTCTTGTAAGGTATGATAGTCTGTTTTGTTCAGGTTGATATAAAGTAGGCATTTACCTAGGAATTTTAGCTAAAAATGCACTGTGTTCAGCTAATGTATTGTTTTGATTCAACTCAGAGTACAAAAAGCCAGGATCGCAAATCTGAGAGCAAAGAAAAGCAAGATATTTTATCGTTTGATAAAATCAAAGAACAGCGAGAACGTGAACGTCAGAGACAGAGGGAGCGAGAAATCAGGGAAACGGAAAGACGCCGGTGAGTCTTCCCAGTTTTGCTCTAAACTTTGAGTGGTATTTCTTTTTACCTCCCTTATGTGTTTTGTGTTTTGAACAGGCTTGCAAAGTAGTGTTGTGCTGACCCTCCAAGAGTGGTATCTCAGATTGATTTGATATTAATCTCTTGGTAAAACAGACATAATACCAAACAATGAAGGGTTTTACTATTGAAATCAATGTTCTCAGCCTGTGTGTTTCAGGAGACTTTTGTAGGTTTTGTGTTCTACTTGGTCAGATTTGAATTTCCATACTTGGTTTTTCCCTGTAATCTTGTAAATACTTTTTGTTTGTCAGACTTATGTCTTAGGACATGCTCTCTATGAAAGCCTTTTCAGACCTGTCTTAGAGTAGATATTGTGTTTCTTAGACACTTTTCAAATGCTCATCTTTGCTTTTTTCATGTGGACATTTTTACTTTCCCGTAATCTAAGCATCTGTTATTTAATTGGGAAGAGATAATTCGAGTTTAAGCAGCTAGTGGTAAGAACACAGAAACTTTACAAACGAAAGAGCAAAAGCAAACAAGAAACCCCATCCAAAACAAAGAAGCAGTAAAGCTTAGACTTAAGATTCTCAATTTAAAACAAAGTATCTTTTTTAAATTAGAGAAAGAGAGAGGCGAGATCGAGAGCAACGTCTTCAAGCTATTCATGAACGGGATGAAAGACAGAGGCTCCAGAGAGAACGAGAACGGCTGGAATTTCAAAGGCAGCGTCTTGACAGAGAGCGCTTGGAGAGAGAGAGGTTGGAGAGAGAAAGAATGCACATAGAGCAGGAAAGGAGACGAGAACAGGAGCGAATCCAGAGAGAGAGGGAAGAGCTGCGACGTCAGCAGGAGCAGCTACGTTATGAACAGGAACGGCGATCTGCCATGAGAAGGCCTTATGATCCTGATGGCAGGTAATGATAATGGCAGTGACATTCCAAACTCTTCAGAGTACTCTTGATAAAGCAGCCACGGAAGCTCACAGCTGAAGGACTATTTACATGTTGCTTTTAACGCTTTATAGCAATCTTGAAGAGGAGAAACGTTGTGCTTGTATACTTGTAAGCAGTGTTTTATTACAGGAGGTTTATTCTTATTTCTCAGAGAAGAGTGACCAAGGATAGTAACTGTATCAACTCTAAAGCAGGATTGCTAATGGGAACATTCTCACATCAGCACTGTGCTGAAATTAAGCTTTGTGTATAGTGTCAGTACACCTGGTTTTCTCTGAAACCAAAATGTGATTCCTTCTTAATGCACATAGGTTTTTAATTAGAAATAAAAAGTAATAGTTTAGGTAATTGGATAGGTTTGATATCAAGAGAGCAGGAAAGGGAAGATCGTTTTGCGATTACTACTAACGGTGACCACCTTTGCAGGCGAGATGACCCGTACTGGCCAGAGGCGAAGCGAATGGCAATAGATGATAGATATCATTCTGAATTTAGTCGTCAAGACCGATTCCACGACTTTGACCACAGGGATCGTGGACGATACCAAGATCATTGTTTGGACAGGTTGGCAAGGCAGTATCTTTTCTTCCTAAACCTTTACGGAAATCTAGTGTCTTTTTGTGGCTTACCTAATGGCTTGAAGGGTGTCAGAAGAGTAAAACAAATGACCCTTGTGCATTTCTCATGTCTAATTTCGTATGTGCTTGCAATCCTTTGTTTTCATGGGTTATGGACATACCAGAAAGAGGCTGCATAAAGATTGTAAACCAAGTCCTAATGTAGTCTGCCATGATGCTAATGGAGATACTACAGCTTCTCTCGATGTATGCAAGTCTGGTTTGTGAATCCCTGTTCCTCAGTCTAAGACTTAGTCTTTTGCTTTAAAACTTCCTGTATTTTCATCTTTGCAGCCTGGCTAATGCAGATTTTTAGCTCCACAGAATGGAAACATGTTTTCTGCATAGCGCCATTGAGACTTCTGTTTTGCTCTCAAAGGATCTTTGGTGAAAGCCATACTACTTTGTTTTTGCCTTGTAACTCATTTCTGATACTGGTAGGTTCACTCAGTATTCTCTGTGGGTATCACTGAGTACATGACCGTGCCTCAGTGATGCTTTGCTTGCCCATGTTACAGTGATAGATGCTACTTTCATCGCTTTTTATGCTATGAAGCAACTCCTTTGAGTATCTTGCCACTAAAGAAACGTTGGCATCCAGATTTACAGCCTAATGAAGATAAATTTTTGTGCGCTATTTCATGCAGACACTGGAATTATGATTACTGTGTTGATTAAACTGAAACTGCCCTTTTTTGTTCCAGAAGAGACTGTACAAGAGGAATACCAGATCGAGATGGGCAGGTGCGTTAGAACCAAATAACCGCTTCTGTGAAAAAGCCAATCAAGCTGACCCCAAAGCAGAAAGAACACAGTGCTCGTGCAGCCTAGTTCTTAAATGCAGTCACCACTGGGTTTAAACTGAGCAGATGTTCAAGCAGCAACTAATTTTGTACGCTAATGTGCGTAAAGTAAGTTACTATGTTATCTGCTTGCTAGGGTGGTAGCCACAGATACGGGCAGGGGGAAACCTCCGAGCGATGGGAGCTACGGTACAGCATCCTTTCAGGCTGGTATGTTGCAATAAAAGTTTTCTGGTTAACCATCTTAGGTGTTAAGAGATAGTTGCTGTAGTTTCTTAGCTGGTGAAGGATCCCTTCTGTCACATTTATCTGAATGGTTTTTAGAAAATAACTAGTGCCATAATGAAACAAGGCAGATGACTTGGACAGATAAAAGGACAGGTGTGAAAACCAATACCACAAAGGTATTCAAAACCTTTCACTTCTGAAGAGAGGTGGGAAGTAGGCAGATAATCTATGTAAAAATTAACAATCTGGAGCCAGAATGTAAGCCTTAAAAAACCTTAACAAACAGACTTCTCCCACTAGAGAGCAGAGCAGAATATGAGCTGTGAAACAAAATAAATGCCTAGAGTGAACCCTGCACAGTAGCAACAGTGGAACCAGTTAAAAAAATGAGTTTGCTACCATTTTGTTTTTTGACAGCTGATAGGAAGGCAACGTCCAAGAAGCTGAATTTTTGCAATCAGAAAAGAAAACCCATGTTGATTCTTAGCATAACTGAGTACCATTTGCCTTTCAGCATTACCCGGATGAACGCCATGGAGGGCCTGATCGTCACTCCCGGGATAGTTGGGGTGGCTATGGGTCTGACAGAAGAATGAATGAAGGGAGAGGGATACCCCCACAAACCCGGTTAGTGCTTGTGAAATAAGGGAAGGGATTGTAGTTAAAATTTTAGTGCTCAGTGAACCTTTGAAGGATGACAGCGGAAGCAGTTTGACAAGTGTGAATCCTTTCTCCAGGCAGTTTCTTTGAGCCACCTGGAGGAGCAAGAAATTCACATGTGTAGCTCCCACACGCATCAGGAGAATGGAGCATTGTAGTGAATAAAGAAATGCTGCTCAGTTAGCTTATAGCTGTGGTTCTCATGTAAATAACTTTCATGTCTACAGGTGAGATTTAGTCACATACCAGATGCTCCAGTAAGGCCTGCAAAAGTCTCATTTATGGCTGGTGGTCAGGTTTTAAGGAAATTGAGTGAGAGTCTCTGCAGTGGTGGGGGTGGAGGACTGACTCATGTAGAATCATAGTGGTTTCTCTTTAAACCGGTTGGTCAAGCTGGGCATGTTCCAGATGCATAATGTTCAGTTCTGCCTAAGTACACCAGACGGAGAAATGGCAGCCAATGAATTGTTCCATGTCTAAGTATTTCAGTCCATTGCAATATCAGTGATGTCTCTATAGGTCAGAAAGACAAGTTTTGTTGTGTGAAGGATGCTGTTCAGCAAGTTTCTCATTGTTCCACTTTGACCAGTTTTTATTGTGATGATTGGGTGGCTATAGCTACAGCTTGATTAACCATTTAACACACTTTTGTATGGGGTATGGTGTTTGGCTTTACCCTATGCTGCTAAATGGATAGGGGACATACCTAGAAGATGTTCTTTTATTTTTTTAAGAGATGGACGTGACTGGGGAGATCATGGTCGAAAGTTAGAGGGGCACCAAGATCGTACATGGCAGGGAAATGTGGATGGAGGAATGATGGGACGGGATCATGAGAGATGGCAAGGTACACTTGCTGCTTACCAGTGTGATTGTGGTTTTTTCTGTGAATTACTGCTGCTGAACTTCTAGTGGTAGTTAAATTACTGAGAAAGCAAATGAAATTCTGGGAACAAGGTGACTTTTTTATTAGGAAAACACAAAAGCCTGTATTTTTTCTTTTTTTTCTTTTTAAATTAGGTGGTGATAGAAGCATGCCTGGTCAGTCAGGACCAGGCCATGGGATGAATCGAGGAGGGATGTCTGGGTAAGAATTTCTGTCAGAGTGCTTGTAATGTTTTTGTAATAGTTGATTGATCTCTATAAAACAAATTCCTGTGTCAGTTGTGAAAAATACTTTCAGTTTCTGCTTAACAATGGATTGGCAAGGGAAAAAAACAAACAACAAAACCAAACTAAACACACATCTTTTCTCAGAGTCACAGTAGTATTAACTTTTCTGGGCAATGTTCAATTTGTCTGGCCTTATTTTTAGACGTGGAAGCTTTACACAAGTTGGAAACCAGAGCCAGATGCTGCAGAGTACTGGAATCCAAGGTGTGTTTGCGGGCCAGGAACGGACAAACAGACTGACTGAACCCCGTTTTAGCCGCCGCTACTGAAAGCTCTGTACATATATGTTTTTGTTTTTGGTTTTTTTTAATACCAGATTACAGTGGTCAGGAATTTTATTAACCAGGCTCACATTGAATTTGTGATTATAAAAGAGCAAGACTGCTGCTGCATTGTAGCCAAATACTATGTCAAATTGGTTTGGTTTATTTTTTGTTTTCTTTTGTTTCTAATGAACGTGGTGTTTGTCAAACATCACCTGAATTTCTGTAAGTGAAGCATTCCATTTTTCAGAAATAATAAAATCAGTGTATGGCTACTACTTTGTTGTTTCTAGAGTCTTTGGCAATATGCCTCTTATGAGGGATGTAAGAGTCAGTGAAGACACCATCTGCTTTTAGCACTGTGCTTTTGTCACTGTGAAGTGACAAATCTGTGACACTGTGGATGTGTATCTCCTTACCTGCATTTGAGAGAGGAAGGATCAATGCGTTTCCTTGTTTAATTCTCCACTGGGAACAGAGAGTCCTTCCTGGTGTGGAAATGCCATGGTGCACCACAATGGCTGCGGACGCTTGAGGGCCAGCACGTGGAGCTTCGTGGAGCACCCCTGGTGCTTCTGGCCAGGTGACTGCTGCTGTGACCATAATCAAAAGAGTGCAGATTATGAGTAACTAAGTAATTAAATAATTATGAGTAATTAATTATGAGTAATTAAACAGGACCTGGCTTGTTCCCAACGTTAAATAAACAAATACCTTGCTGCCACTGTAACCCCTAAACCGTCACCCGGCGCCAGATCCGGACACCTCTTGAACACCTGCAGCAACGGCGACCCCACCACCTCCCTGGGTAACCTATTCCAATGCGTGACCACCCAATTTTTTCCGAATCTCTAATCCGAATCTCCCCAGTCTCGTTGTAAGGCCAGTTCCCCTGAAAAAAAAAGAAGGAAATATAAAATACGAAAGAAAATTAAAGAAAAAAAATAAACGCGAGCAAACTAAAAAGGCAATAAAATGAAAACTGAAATGTAAGAGAAAAACAACCTCTCTTGGGTAACCGCCCCGCCCTCCGACCCGTGAATTGGGGGACACCACTAAAATGTGAGAAGGGGACACCAAAACGTGAGTGGGGGAACCCCAGGAAGCCGAAAAAGCAGCGGAGGGGGAGCCGCGAAATGTGAGGGAGGGGCCCCAGAAAAGCGCGTGAGGCGCGCGCAGTAAGAGAGCGAAGCCGGGCGGTCGGGCGGCGGGGTGGGGGGGGAAGCAAAGGTGGCGAAGCCGGCGCATGCGCAGTCGTTGGCAAGACGCCGACGATCACGTGGTAACTAAGGGCAGCCAGGCGAGGAAACGGCGACGCATGCGCAGTGGCTCTCGTGCCGGTGCAGCGCACCCCGCTCGAGGTAAGGGCCGGTTCCGGCGGCAGGGCGGGACTCGCGGTCTCCCGTCTCTCCCCGGGTGTGTGCGGGGGGAATAACATGAAGATTTCTTGGGGTGAAAGCGCAGAAATTAGCGAGGAGGGACGCTAATTTGGGTAAACTCGGTCACCGGAAGTAGAGAGCGACCGGAAGTCCTCCAAGGCTCCGGCCCGGAAGTCCGCCAAGCCCACAGTAAAGATGGCGCCGCCAGGACCGGAACTTACCACACTAAAGATGGCGGCCCCGGCCCGGAAGTCCGCCAAGCCCACAGTAAAGATGGCGCCGCCAGAACCGGAACTTACCACACTAAAGATGGCGGCCCCGGCCCGGAAGTCCGCCAAGCCCATAGTAAAGATGGCGCCGCCAGGACCGGAACGACCACACTAAAGATGGCGGCCCCGGCCCGGAAGTTCGCCCCGACGCCACACTCAAGATGGCGCCACCACGACCGGAACTTAGCCGAGGCCACACTAAAGATGGCGGCGAGAGGCCCCCTCGCCTCAGAGAGGCGTCTATCCTGTTGCCTGGCCTTCCGCCGCGACCCGGACCCCCGCCCCGCGCCCGCAGCGCCGTCTCGCCGCGCCGCTTCCCGCTGTGGGGACGGGGCGGGGCGCTCGGCGGCGCCGGGCGCGGGCGGCAGGTTCGTGGGCGGCGGCAGGCACCGGCGCGGGCAGCCCCCTCTCGGCGCCGCGAGGACCCCAGCCGCGCGCCGCGCCTCGTTCCGCTCCGCTCCGCTCCCGCTCCCGCTCCCGCTCCCGCCCCGCTCGGTCCCGCCGTGCCCTTGAGATGCTGTCGGGGCTGCGCCGCCGCCTTCCCCCCCCGCAAGCGACCCACGGCGGCAGATCCGACGGAGATCGTCCCCGGGGTAACCTGGGCGCGGCGGGGGGGGCGGGGGGGGGGGCGCGGCCGCTCTTCTGCCTCTCCCGCGGCCATCGGGGACTGCAGGCAGGGGAAGCGACAGGCAAGTTTTTCGCCTCTGCGGAGAAACTCGCACCTGCGTGCCGCCGCAGGGCCGGCTTCGGATGTGCCCTGGCATTGCACACGCACCACACCCCCCGCGGGGAGGGTCTGCGCTGCCTCGGGGACCCCGTCTGTGCTGCCGGGAGAGAGAAATCCTTTGGGAAGCTGGGCTGGAAACAGCAACTCTGTGAACTGCTCAGCTTTTCCTAGGCAAGGGCAGGTTTTAGGGAAGAAAGGCCCGGACGCGCGAAAGGCGCCGCGGGTCTCGCCAAGGGGGGGGGGCGCGCGGCTGCAGCGCCGCGCGCGGCTGCAGTGCCGCTCCCGGCCGTGTCCGCCAGGCGGCGACTGTGAGGCAGGGCCCGGCGCTCGGGGGCGCTCTCGCAAGCGACGCTTGCCCTGGGAAAGCGGCGGGGTTTGGGCACTGCCGGCCTTCCCCCGGAGGGCCCGGGCTGGCCCAGCACCTGGCAAAACCTCTTAGGGAAAAGGCAAGGAACACCTGCGGTGGTTCTGCCCTTTCTTTAGCCAGGGACTGGAACACAGACAAAATCAAGGGGCTCTTTGACCTGGGCAGGCTCCCAGCATTTTTCAGCCTTCCTTAGCAGGGCATTCTCACCCTCTGAAAAGCTGAAAGGCTTTAACAGCTGGAGACGCGCCTGCAGCTGTGCAGATTAATGTCCTTTCTTTTAGGAAACGAAGGGGGAGTTTTCCTGTTGTGAGCCTAAATACCGAGTCTACTCTGCTTTTTCAATCAGGTGACGAAGCTTATGGAAAAAAAGACCAAAGGCCTCGAGGTGAGCACATTCTACCGAGTTCTGCTTTTCTGGGATCGGTTTGGGAAAATCACGTGAAATTCTAAAAAGCTTCTCTCCGTGTTTTCTAGTTGTTTTTTCAGCCTTGGTCTAAGTTTCATGTAGAAAAGGGCATAGAATTATTAGAACAGACAAACTAGACTTTCTCGGGAGAGATGGAAGAGAAGGCTGCTGATTGCAGTTTTCTGCTTTTCTTGTCTTCTATTAGACTGTCATTTTCTCTCACCTCACTGTTCAAATAGGCAGCAATTAATTCCTCTGCTGAAGAGTTTGCTGTACTAAGTGTCTGTCAAATTGATGCCTTCAACTCAAGATAGCACCTGCTCCTTAGTTACAAAAAGTTCCTCACAGGAGATTTTCAGGCGTGCCCATAAATCTCCTCGCTGTTTGTTTGGGAGAACAGGGTTTTCTCGTCTGTAACAGAACAGTCGTGGCATTTGCTATGGAATGCTGGTGGCAATCTAGTCAGAAGAGGACCCCGTGCTTCACTAATTTTGCCTTTTTGTTGTTCGGGGTGACTTCTTCCCAGGGAGGTTATTCTTGACACCCCGGGGCAAATGGAGGTATTCACCTGGTCAGCGTCAGGAGCCATCCTAACTGAGGCCTCGGTGAGTGCTTTTTGTATGACTGGACGGTGAAGCTGTGTGAATGACCTGGCTAGTGCTCGGTGTACTCCTAATTAAAGTGTCTTTTACTCCGTGTTCCCAGGCTCCCTCCTTCCCTTCGGTCGCCGTGGGTGTGCCAGACACCTCTGGCAGGGCTAACCCTGTGGCTTTTCTGTCCAACGTGCTGTGCTGTGTGTGCCTGCAGGTAAGAAAAGCTGGGAGTGCAGTCCTTCTGCTTTGCTTGCTGTGTCTCTTGGGTAGTGATTTTGGAGGGGAATCCCAGAGCGATTTGATTTGAAGGGGACCTTCAAAGGCCAGCCTGCCTTCCGTGGGCAGGGACACCTTCCGCTCTCATCCCCGGCTGGATGCTCCCAGTCCCATCCAGCCTGGCCTGGAACACTTGCAGGGATGGGGCAGGCTCAGCTTCCCTGTGCAGTGTGCTCTAATATCTCTCCACTGGCATCAGGAAAAATTTTGTCAGCGTGTTTTGTTCAACGATGGTAAGCAGGACCCGGGTGAAAATGACATTCTGTTAGGTGCAGAGGGAAATAATTCTCCTTTGAAGCCAAATGTATTCAGATTTGCACGAGTCTTGTCTGCCTTATGTTTGAATTGCTTTCTATTCTAGGCAGTTGTTTTAAATTAAACTTTTATTTTGTGTCTCCCCCGCCCCCAGTATCCTGTCCAAGACCAAGCTACCTTTCCTCGTGGGAATGGACCGGCCGGGCTTTGGCAATCTGGCCCCTCGAAAGACTAAAGTGACCTCTTCCAGCAGGGGAAGACTGAAGCAAGCGGTGCCAGAAAGAACTGGAGTTTCTGGAGAATAAAAGCTGGAAGCGTGCCCCCGAAAATCCCCCCGGGTGGTCAGTGGTCTGACTTGAACGGACCGGTGGCCTTGGCCAGGAGCGGTCCTGCGGGAAGCGCCTTTGCCCAGGCTGTAATTTTAATTTCCATTGGATGCTTGGCAAAGCCCCCCTGGGTGAGCCCCAGTGCCTGGCATGAGCGGAGCGGGCTTCCAGGGAGGTATTCACCTGGTCAGCGTCAGGAGCCATCCCTAACTGAGGCCTCGGTGAGTGCTTTTTGTGTGACTGGCCGGTGAAGCTGTCTGTGGGAATGACCTGGCTATTGCTCAGTGTAGTCCTAATTAAGGTGTCTTTTACTCCGTGTTCCCAGGCTCCCTCTTTTCCTTCGGTCGCCGTGGGTGTGCCGGATGCCTCTGGCAGGACTAACCCTGTGGCTTTTCTGTCCAACGTGCTGTGCTGTGTGTGCCTGCAGGTAAGAAAAGCGGGGAGTGCAGTCCTTCTGCTTTGCTTGCTGTGTCTCTTGGGTAGTGATTTTGGAGGGGAATCCCAGAGCGATTTGGTTTGAAGGGGACCTTCAAAGGCCAGCCTGTCTTCCGTGGGCAGGGACACCTTCCACTGTCCCCGGTTGCTCCCAGTCCCGTCCAGCCCGTCCTGGAACACTTGCAGGGATGGGGCAGGCTCAGCTTCCCTGTGCAGTGTGCTCTAATATCTCTCCACTGGCATCCTGAAAAATGTTGTCAGCGTGTTTTGTTGGACGCCGGTAAGCAGGACCCGGGTGAAGAGGACATTCTCTGAGGTGCTGGGAGAAGGAGGACTCGTGCGGGCACCTCCAGAGACAGCGGGAACGGGAGCGTGCTGCGGAGAAGGAAAATTCCAGGGGGTGGGTGCCGAGAAATTTGTCCTTTCCTCGCCCTGTGCTCTGCACTTAGCAATGGGTCAAGTGCAGAAGTTTCCTGGGGACCCTGGGAAATGATGCCGGGTCTGCTAAGAAAAGTGGGGCCAAAGGAGCAGGACCTGGGTCTGCGAGCGTGGGAGAAACAAGGGCCGGGTCATCCTCTGCCTCCGGGCGGGAGGGCAGCAGGAAAGGCCACGGACTAAAGCACTGAAGTGCCGTTCCCCAGGGAGCCCCTGCCCAGCACTGAACTTGCTTGTGCACTTGCTGTCCCTTTCCCAGCGGAGCCGAAGCGTCGGGTGCGGGTGCCGGGGGGATGGAGCTGCCAAGGACAAACTGGGAGGGTGTATGCGAGGGAAGGGGGTAGAAGGAGCTCTTGACGTGCTTTTTTTACTTCTTCATCCCACAGAATTGCCGCGAGAGGAAATACTTCAGAGGGGCTTCCCTCCAGGTAAGCCCTGAATATGCCAGGAGGTTTCAACCGGGAGGAAAGGAGCTGTGGAAGAAAAGCAGCCTAAAAATAGCCAGCGGGGATCATCGGGTTTTCCAGCCAAGAAGCACAAGGAGAGAGATGAGGGAATCGGGTTCCAATTCCTAATGATTTGGTGGGCGCAGGAATGATTTCTGTGTGTTTTCCAGTCCCTTTTGATTCCTGGGATGATTTTAAAATGATGGCTTTAGCAATCAACTAAATCGGAGATGTTGTTTTTGAGAGGAAATGATGCCAAACAAATGCAGAGTTTTGGGTCAGTT